TTCTATTTCTTCCTGCTTCAGTTTTGGTAATTTATATGTTTCTAGGAATTTATCCATTTCTTTCAGGTTATCCAATTTGTTGGCATACAAGTTTTCCTAATATTCTCTTATAATTGTTTGTATTCTGTGGTATGTGTTATTATTTTTCCTCTCTCATTTGTGATTTCATTTATTTGGGTCCTTTCTCTTTTTCTCTTGATAAGACTGGCTAGAAGTTTATCAATTTTATTATCTTTTCAAAGAACCAGCTCCTGGTTTCATTGATCCATTCTACTGTTTTTTGTTTTTGTTTTTTTTTTTTAGTTTCTATTTCATTTATTTCTGCTCTAATCTTTATTATTTCCTTCCTTCTGCTGGTTTGGGGTTTTGTTTGTTGTCCTTTTCCCAGCTCCTTTAAGTATAAGGTTAGGTTGCTTATATGAGATTTTTCTTGCTCCTTGAGGGAAGCCTGTATTACTATAAACTTCCCTCTTAGAACAGCTTTGGCTGTATCCCAGAGACTTTGAACCATTGTGTTTTCATTTTCATTTGTTTCCATGTACTTTTTTATTTCTCCTTTTATTTCCGGGGTGACCCATTCATTGTGTAGTAGCATTTTATTTTTTATTTATTATTTTTTAAAAAAGATTTTATTTATTTATTTGACAGAGAGAGACACAGCGAGAGAGGGAACACAAGTAGGGGGATTGGGAGAGGGAGAAGCAGGCTTCCCATGGAGCAGGGAGCCGGATGCGGGGCTCAATCCCAGGACTCCGGGATCATGACCTGAGCTGAAGGCAGACGCTTAACACCTGAGCCACCCAGGTGCCCCGTGTAGTAGCATTTTATTTAATCTCCATGTATTTGTGGTCTTTTCAGATTTTTTTCCTTGTGGTTGAATTCTAGTTTCATAGCACTGTGGTCAGAAAAGATGCATGTATGTCTTTGAACTTTTAGAATTTGTTGAGGCTTGTTTTGTGGCCCAGTATGTGATCTATTCTGTGACATCCCTTGATTTTTTTTTTATTATGTTATGTTAATCACCATACGTTACATCATTAGTCTTTGATGCAGTGTTCCATGATTCATTGTTTGTGTGTGACACCCAGTGCTCCATGCAGAATGTGCCCTCTTTAATACCCATCGCCAGGCTAACCCATCCCCCCACCCCCTCCCTTCTAGAACTCTCCCTTGATTTTTAAACGTTGACAAATCATTCAATGAGGATTACGACAATGGTGATGATTACAAAAACACTGGGAGGATAAGCCAAACGTGTTTGCAGGCTGGATGAGGATGGCAGGCTGCCTGCTTGAAACCTCCACGACAACACAATGACAGTATCCAGCACCTGAGCAAAATGTGACATCTGTACATGCAGCTCTCCGTACCTGCTTTCTTACTTAACCGTCATGGTGACCCTCCGCGACAGGGATTACTGACCCATGTTGCAGTTAGGGGAACCTGCTTGGAGGGTTTGAGGAACTGGTCCCAAACCACTGATTCATGAGCAGTGGTGCCAGAGCTTGAGCCTAAATCTTCAAATTCCAAGCCCAGCTTCCTCTTCCAGCATTCTGTGTTTCTGCCAACACAGACACCATATCAGGCACTTTATCTCTCACCGCATGTTATGGAGGAGGGATGTGAGGCTCTGGGAGGTTATGTGGTCAGTGTGGGATGGAGATGATTGGAACCAAGGTCTGACTTCTCTAGAGCTAGAGTTTTGTTTTGAGAAGGAAAAAGCCCAAACAAAAAACATGTCTGTTGGGAAGGTTCTGCCCTCAGCTAAAAGCAGAGGAGCAACAGAGAAAGCCTTTTCTCTGTTGCCATATGTGTGAGTTAGAGCCGTATGAAGTTACAATCTGTGCTCGGAGGTGGGGGTGGGGGAGTCTTACCCAGTTCTTCAAATTAATCAGTGTAAAAAGAATCCATTGTAAAAATAAAAATAAACCGACCCAGACTCTGCCGTTAGTCAGGAGGCACTGGGTACACCTGCCAACATCCAGAACAAGGGTATTTAGGAACAGGTGGTTCTGCACAGGGAAGAGTACTATGACCAGAAGGGGAGCCCCATGGGTCAGACACAGTTCCGGGAGTGCTGATGGCTGACTCTGGCCTCCACAGGCCCACCCCAATGCATTTCTTTCTGAAAGTCGGTGAGCAAGATCGATGCCCATGACATTGTGAATGCTTGATACCAGGCATTCTGCTAGATGTTCTATAGCCACTATCTCATTCAATCCTCATGAGATAGGGACTATGAATTCCATTTTACAGGTGAGGAAACTAGGCATGGAGGTGAAGTGACTGGCCAAAGGTCACACAGCTGATAACTGGCAGAGCCAGGACCTGAGCCCAGAACGGGCGGTTCCCAAGGCCTGTCATCTGGGCCACTGGGTGCTACTGCCTGTTGTCTCATGGGGATATCAGCTCTGCCTTCCCAGACTAATCAGTTACTGAAGTGAACTCCTGGTGTCATCTGAAACAGGGGCAAACAACTGGTAAAACTCAGGGCTTGTGCTTTGGGAGGATTAAATGAGATAATGCTCGGATGAGACTTCACTTGGTGTCTGGCACAATAAAGGTCCTACGGCACATCCCCAATCTTTACAATCTAACCAAATGCCCTGCCCACCTCTGCATCCACCCTGAGCTCAGCCCCCAGGAGCCCCCCCAACCCCGCGGCTCTCTGCACAGGCCGTGCACTTGTCCCAGCCAGCTGCTCCCCAACCTTTGCAGAATCTGCTCCAGGCTACCTCCTCTCTGAAGCCCCCTGGGAAGCCACCGCACTTCCAGCCCCACCTCACCCAGTGCAGGGGCAGCTCTTCACAGGCCCCTCGGGGCTCCCACAGCCTGCTGTCCAGACCTCCATTTCAGCACTTATTTTGGGTGTAATTACATGTTCGCAGGTCTGTTTCCCATAACAAGTCTGTCTGAGATCCAACATGCACTAAACAAAAACAGGCAGGGAAATCTAAGGCCAATCCACCACTGGGCGGAAGAGTTCTGGAATACTCGGGATGCCGCACTTGCCACTCCATGCACCGACCGGCAAGGTCTGCTGAGCCCTTTCACAAAGTCCCGCACCAAAAGCCATAAAAACATCTCATTGACCTTCTGACCCAGTCATTCCACTTCCGGGAAGAATGGTTAAAGGAAACAATTAGGAAATTAAGAAAAAATAAATCTATGCCCAGAATCAAACCTTGGGATTCTGACGGTAGGAATAAAACAAACAAAATCAACAAACAATCTAAATGTCCCACCACAAAAGGGAGGCTGAGTCACCCAGAGTAACAGTAATGCCCTGTTCGGTGATGATTGGCGCCCGCTAAATGCCAGTCACTTCGCTCACCGTGTCACTCCGTCCTCACGCACAAGCTGGTGCAGTAGACAGCATAATCACCCGGCTTTGAGAGCGGGGAAGCAGGCTCAGGGGTTGTGACGGGAGTGACGGCCACTGGGAGGGGAACGCTGTGCTGGGAGTGCTCTAGGCAGCAGGACACCGTCTCGGTCACTGCTCACGAGAGCCCGCGACGAAGCTGCTCTTTGTACCCTCCCTTTACCAGGGAGGGACTGAGACCCTGAGACATGAATAACGGATCCACAGCCGCGCTTCTGCTCAGTCCCCGGGCTTACCTCCTTAGCTCTAGCTGCTGCGCCCTGTGTCACTCAGCAGCCGGCAGCAGAGGAGGGCCTGGGGGACAGGCACATCTGCTCTGAGACCCTGTACTCTCTGCCATGAGAAGGTCCTGCTGCAGACTGCAAACCACCTCTGTTATGAATTATGTCCCCCCAAAGATGCTGAAGTCCTAAAGACCAGCCTTTGTGGAGCTGTAACCTCCAATGGAGATAGGGTCTTTGCAGGGGCGTCACAGGACTAGGGGACTGTGCCCTTGTACAAGAGGGAAATTTGGACACAGAGCAAGGACCATGTGAAAGCATGGGGAGACCATGATCTACAAGCACAGAATGCTGGAAGCTACCAGAAACCAGGCGAGAGGCCTGGGTCAGATTCTCCCTGGAAGCCCTCTGAAGGAACCAACTCTGCTGACAGCTTGACTTCAGATGTCTGGTCTCCAGCCTGGGAGAGAACAAATTTCTGGTGTTTGGGCCACTGAGTTTGTCACATCGTTATAGCCCTGAGTTTGTCACCCTGAGTTTGTCACTCTGGCTCACGAATCACTTCTCACGTTATGAGACAGCTGGCAAAACGGTGATAACTGGGGCGGATGGGGGTGGAGGATACCTGAGGGGCATGTGACGGGGACCACTGATTGCCACCCCAGGAAACCACACCTGGGGGCAGGGAGGGCTGCGAAGAGACACACCAGCACAACGACGCTGCTTTCCGATTTCTCTCCTTCTTCTCCTGCATCTTCCTAATTTGATCCAGCAAGCTTGTGTTACTCTTCTAAATTTCATACAACTGGCTTAAATCTATGTACTTGAACCATGAGAATCTGGAGGCATATGAGTATACTTGTGATGGGCTGCACTGTGTTCCCCAAATCCAGGTGTTGAAGCCCTGACCCCCAGGACCTCAGAACATGACTTATCTGGAGACAGGGTCTTTCAAGTGGTAACTGGGTTAAAAATGGTTGTTGGGAGGGGCCTCACTCCAATAAGACTGGTGTCCTTATAAGAAGAGGCGATTAGGACACACACACACACACACACACGGGCAGAGAGAAAAAGAGAGGGCATGAGAAACCAGCTCCATGTAGGCCCAGAGAGAGGACTACGTGAACACACAGCAAGAAGACGGCCCTCTGTGAGCCAAGGAGAGAGCCTCAGAAAGAGGCCTCACACCTACCAACATCTTGCCCTTGGTCTTCTAGCCTCCAGAACTGTAAGAAAATAAATTTCCTGTTGTTTAAGCCGGCCAGTCTGGGCCATTTTGTTCTGGAGGCCCCAGCAAAGCAATACAAGGAACCAGAGGAGCACGAGCCTTCCCACCGCCCCCAGCACTGTAGGCTGGAGCTGAGGCCCAGCGGGCAGGGCACGGCCGCATCACTCACCCAGGCAGTTGTGTCCATCGTGGGCCAGCATGAAGCCATCAAAGCAGGTGCACCTGTAGTTCCCTGGGATGTTGATGCACTCGTGCACACAGCCCCCATTGTAGTAGTCATTCTCACACTCGTCGATGTCTGCAAAATGAGGGCCGGGAGAGGGATCAGAGGAAGGGCCTGGGAGTCCCCTCTCCCTCCTACCACGGAAGCCACCCTAGGGCGTGACTGGTTCGGGGATAACTCTATAAGTATTCACTAAAGTCCTTGCTGGAGGCTGGGGCCCCAAAGATGACAAAGATGAAGAGCCTGGCGCTGCAATAAGGCCGGCCACCTCCTTACGGGGCAGTGCAGGATGCTCTCACCACAGTGAAGCAGGCAAGATTCGCACCCAGCTCTGCCTCCCTCAAAAGCCTCTCGACAATAGCAGCATGCGGGGGCCCTGTCTAAAACCCGCCCCCCGCCCCCCCCCGGAAACCGGCTCTCTTCAGTTTACGTGAAAGCCTCCCAGAGATGGAGAGCTCATGACTTTGTGAAGTGGGGAGTACTGAATAAAATGGACCTTGCATACCACCAAAAAACAGAACCTCTGGAATGAGACAGAAGTCCACATCCTCCGCCTAGTTTCCTTCCACAGCAGCGCCTGAAGCCTGAATTTCTAGGGCTCCAGATTCCTTGTTATAACAAAGGCTTCTGTCTCATAAACAATGGCCAGCAGCCTTTGTAAAGGTCACCTTTTTTGCTGCTTAAAGTCTTTTTTTCAACATTTCCCATCAGGGGTCAAAGGGCTATCGTTCTGGAGCTCCAGATTTGAGAGGCCTCGGAGAGTAATAGGAACGCGCCTAGTTAACACCCAACGAGCGCTTCTATACCCAAGTAGAGAACCCCGTATGTCATTCCGTCCTCACACCCCACAGTAACTAGGGAGGTGGGCACTGTCATCCTTACTCCAACTTTACAAGGGCACTGAAGAAAGCGGGGCACAGGGAGGCCAGACCCCCGCCCAAGGTCACACACCTCGGAAGTGGTACGAGGAGGATTTGAACGAGGCAGCCTAGCTTGGGAGCTCCGGAGCTCCGGGGGGCCCAGGCTGCCACATCACTGGGAGCAGCGAGCAGGGGGTGCCGGGGCCCAGGGAGAACCACCAGCATTGCCTCGGGCCTCGGTAACCCCGGCCCAACCGCTCCCGGGGCTCGCTGTCTCGGTCCACGCTCGCCCTGGCCTCCACAGACAACCCAGGGAGTCTGGGAAGAGGGAGCGGAAGTGCCCACCTGGGGGAACCGGAAGTACCGTACTCAGTGGAACCGGAAGTGTCCGAACTAAGCGCAACCGGAAGTGCCTCACAGGAAAAATCAGTCCCTCCCCTCTGGGGTCGAAGAGGGGGGTTTGAAGCCAGGTTCCAGCTATGAGCGCTGGCCCGAAGAAGAGAGGGGACTGAAGGCAAGCCTGGCTGCTCCCTTAAAGGCCTGGGGAGCTGGCACAGAGACACCCAGCTCCATGCTTTCTCCATGCTGGTCCTGAGGGCAGAGCTACACACAGTGGGGGAAACCCATGGGGGCCAATTAGAGTTCGCAGGTGGGAATGTCCATTGAAAAACAGGCTCTCTCGGGAGGGAGTGAGCTCCCTAACTCCGGAGGTGACCAAGCACTGTCTAGACATCTGCCTGCCAGGGACGCAGCCAGTAGAGGGGATAACTTCAGTGAAAACAACAGCACAAAAATGCCAGAAAACAGAGCCTGGGCTGTGCAGTCCACTTCTTGTGCCCACCCATCCAGCCATGATGAGGGAAAAACAAAGTAGCCTGACTCTGCAAAGGTGCAAGAGACAGAAGCTTCTACCCAACCTGCCTGCAGTGGCCATCAGCATCAGCTGGGAAGCCGGCTCAGTTCTGCAAGTCATTTGAATTGTTTTTAATCATTATATTTAATACGCTTAAACATTTTAAATAACATTGAAAGAGGATTTAAGATTTTATGTTTGAAAGGGCATACAGGTTTATGAAGATTGAGATATTGATTACTTCTCATTCTCTGCAGCCCTGACCTTTTGCCAAAGCCCCAGATATTTTTCCCCCTGAATCTCCCAGACACTCCAAAGGCAACATGGCCCGACTTCAATTCATCAACCTGCACTTGCCTCGGGTTCCTTGTCCCTGTGAATAGTGTTATCCTTCCATCTCTCCACAGACATCGAATCAGCTACCAAAGCATGGTTTTTCTACACCCTTAACATGGTTACAGTCTGCTCATTGGTCACCTATTCCACCACCTGCTCAGCATGGGCATCATCTCTCATCCAATCTGAACCAGCAGCCCCAGACCATTCCCTCCCTTCTTTTCTTCATGTAAACAGGTGGCTCAGGAGAAGATGGCCTCGTCCCAACTCTGGGGTGGAGCCTGGTCGTCTAACAAACAGCATATGTAGCAGCAGCTCTTGGTCCCAGGGTGGGCACATGACTTAGGTCGGATCTGTGATACTGAGGGGAAGCACTTTCACTCCAAACTTGGGTAAAAGAATTCTCTCTCTCTCTCTCTGTCAAGTTGTACCTCAGAAGGAATTATGCAGATATTTACTGAAACACACACCAGCTGACTTAATTTTCACAGCAACCCTCTGGAGTGGTTATTTTAACTTCATTTTATGGGTGAACAAACTAAAGTGCAGAGAGGATAGGTAATTGCTCAAGGTCATATAGTAAACGGCAGGGCAAGGATCAGAACAGAGAGGTCTTTAAGTCTCAAAAATGTGTGTCCTTTCTAATAAGTTAGAATACCCATGACATGCCAGGCATTGGCAAATTACTTTATACACATTATAACATGCTTGGCACATCTATACTGTGTGCTGAGGAGGTATTATCTCATCATCCAAACACCCATTTATCAATTTCTCCTTCCATATGTCAGTTCATGCTAAACTCTATTCATCTAAATATCCAGTCAGCTGACCATCCTTCCATTTATCCAATCACCTATTATTCATCTATCCATTTATCCAGCCAAATATCTACCCATGTATTTAAATATGCATCCACCCATCTAAATATTCAGCCAGGCACTCATCTTTTTATTCGTCTAAACATCTAAACATCCATCCATCTGACATCCATTCACTCATCATCCATCCATCCAAATGTCTAACCACCCATCCATCTATTCATTGATTCAAACACCCACCCATCTATACACACACACACACACACACACACACACACCCCTACCCACTCATCATCCATCTATCCATCCATTCACCCATCTATCTATTTACATATGTATTCATCCACCCATCAACTTCTTCAAACATGATCCATCTAAACATCTGACAAAATACATACAATAAGATAAAAAAAAATAACGTTAGGAAAAAGAAAAAGAAATGAGGATCGAAGAATAAGAGAAAGCTGGTGAGAGTACGCAAATACACTTGGTAATTCCAGCACAATTTCAAAAAGTTGGTCACAAATATGATTCTGAAATTCCCAGAAGCCACAGCAAAGAAGGAAATACAGAGTCACCACATCCATAAAATGCAATTAAACTGGTTTCGATGGTGCTAAGGTCTAAGAAAAATGTCTCTGCCCCTGGTTAGGCTCATCATATGCTCCAATTTGCTGGGCACAGTTGCACTTTATGCTGCTGTCTGGGTGTAATGATTGACAGCACACTCTCCCTCTCAAAATAATAACCTATTTGGTCACCATACCCAGAAGGCATTATAAAGACATTGCTGAGTAATCAATAAAACAACTCTAGCCTTTTCCTTCCCGTGACACCCTATAGTGTTGGCCACCGTAGATGCCAGTAGGCAGAAGAGTGCAGGAATGTTCACTGCTCATACCTCTTCCCTTAATTTATCCCCAAAGGATTTCCCCCAGATCCAAGCATCTCTTCGAACCATCAGTTCCGGGGCGCCTGGGTGGCTCAGTCGTTAGGCGTCTGCCTTCGGCTCAGGTCATGATCCCAGGGTCCTGGGATCGAGCCCTGCATCGGGCTCCCTGCTCGGCGGGAAGCCTGCTTCTCCCTCTCCCACTTCCCCTGCTTGTGTTCCCTCTCTCGCTGTGTCTCTCTCTGTCAAATAAATAAATAAAATCTTAAAAAAAAAAAAAAAAGAACCATCAGTTCCTCTCCAATCCCCAGGCCTGACGTGTTGCCACAGCGACCTAGGCCAGCCTGCAGCATCGGCTCACAACTAACCCCCCTCCCCTGATTTCTGTGTCTGTGTGTCGAATTTTTGTTTTTGTTTTTTTTAAAGATTTTATTTATTTATTTGACAGAGGAGACACAGCGAGAGAGGGAACACAAGCAGGGGGAGGGGGAGAAGGAGAAGCAGGCTTCCCGCGGAGTGGGGAGCCCGATGCGGGGCTCGATCCCAGGACCCTGAGATCATGACCTGAGCCGAAGGCAGACGCTTAACGACTGAGCCACCCAGGCACCCCTGTTGTTTTTTTTTTTTTATCATGGGAGCCTCCTCCTTTAATACATAAGAAATAAACACACAAACAAATCAACCAAAAAAAGTCTCTGCCAAAGCAAGTGGATTTATTTCTGTTAAAAAACGTGTCCATGAGCCACCAGTCCTGGAGGAGGCCCCATGGGCCTCTGAGATGCCTGGCAGGCTGGGACCACTTTTTAAGGACCGTTAAAGCCAGAGAATGAGGAACAGGCGAATGGGGTAGGGAGAGGGTGAAGGAATGGAGGGGGACAGAGCCAAGCTCTCTGGATGTTTATTCTTGAAGGACTATTGTGGGTTGAACTGTGTCATTCCCAAAGATGTATTGGTGCCCTAACCCCTGGTATCTGTGAATGTGACCTGATTTGGAAATAGGATCTTTGCAGATGTAAGCAAGTTAAGATGAGGTCATGCTGGAGTAAGATGGGCCCTAATCTAATGACTGGTGTCCTTATAAGAAGACAGAAATTTGGATACACACGGAGAGGATGTTAGGACTGAGAGGAGAACACCATGGCAAAACACACAGATGCGCAGAAGAGAGCGGCGTGATGACCACGGCAGAGACTGGAGGGAGGAAGCTGTGTGACAGCCAGACGTTAGTGCTACTCCCATTTTGCTGATGTGGAGGCTGAGGATCAGCATGGCTGAGCACCTAGTCGCCCAGCCCCTGGGCAGTGGTTGTGTTCAAA